CTACTCAGAAGGCTGAGGCAGGAGGGTCACAGGTCCTGGGCTAGCATGGCCAACTGAACAAGACACTGTCTAAAAATAAAACATTGTAGAAAAGGAGTTGGAATACCAGGTCTGGTGGTACATGCCTGTAATCCCAGTACTCTGGGAGGCTGAGGCAGGAGGATTGCTGTGAGTTCAAGGCCAGCCTAGACTACGTAATGAGATCCTGTCTCAAAAAAAAAAAAAAAAAAAAAAAATCCCCAAAATAAAAGATTGAGGGGAGGGTTGGGGTATAGCTCAGTGATAAAATGCCCCTGGTTTTGATCCCCAGAACTACAAAAAAAACCAAAGTTGCATTTGTTCCCCATCGTCACCAACAGTTGATATGGCCAGTCTTTCTTTTTAGCCACTTTTTTTTTTTTTTTTGTCTTTTTGAGACAGGGTCTCACTGTGCAGTTCAGAGTGGCCTTGAGCTCACTTTGTAGCCCAGGCTGGTCTCAACTCAAAATGATCCTCCTGCCTCAGCCTCCTGAGTGCTGGGATTATAGATGTGCGCCACCACGCCCAGCAAGCCACTTTTATAGATGTGTTTTATTTCTTATTTTGGCTTTAATTTGCGCTTCTCCAGTAACTAATGATTTTGGATATTTTCATGGGTTTCCTTGATGTCTTACTTTTTCTTATTGCTGAGATAAAATACCCAACACCCAAAGTGAAAGGAGGAAAGGTTTATGTGCCTCGCAGATGGTAGAGGTTCAGTTCTTAGTTGGCTGGCTCCAAGGCAGGGCAGCATGGGAGAGGGGCATCACAGGGGAGAAACAGTTTATGGTAGGCAGAAGCAAACCAATACACAAGACAAGCCTCTTTCCATCCCTTATATCTTACCTAGGCTCCCTGCCCAAAGGGCAGGTAGCACTCACACCATTAATTCTAGTGTTTTTTTGTTTTGTTTTTTTTGGTCTTTGAGACAGGGTTTCATTATGCAGTTCAGGCTAGTCTGGAGCTCACTTTGTAGCCCAAGCTGGCCTTGAACTTCGGTGACCTTTCTGCTTCAGCCACTATGACCGGTGATCCTAGCATTCTTTTTTTTTTTTTTTTCCTGGTACTGGGAATCGAACTCATGACCTTGCGCTTGCCAGGCAGGTGCTGTGCTGCTGAGCTAAATCCCCAGCCCCAGATCCTAGCATTCTTACTCCTAACACTGCACCATGAATCCATCCCAGCATCACACACTCTAGATCCAACCACCTCTGGAAAACCCCACCTATGACTGTGTGAGCCTTCCAGGGGACAGCTAGACACAAGCCGTAACACTTGGCTGTTCAGATCTTTGGTAAACTACCTTTTCAGTCTCTTACCCATTTCTCACTGGGTCGGGCCTGATGGGAGCCCAGAGCTCACAGAGCCCCTTCTCTGGCCACTTTCTGAGTTTTCTTGAGATAAAATTTGTATAACCAAGTTCACCCATTTCAGGTGAACCGTTTGGTGGCATTTAGCCCATGCACAGAATTGTGCAACCGTGACCTCTGTCTAGTTCCAAATTATAATTGACCTCTAAAAGGACAGCCCATACCCACTCTTGGTTTGTTTTGAGATAGTCCAGGCCAGGCTTGAACTCACTGTGTGGCCTAGGCTTCCCTTGAACTCACGTTCTTCCTGCTTCAGCCTCCTGAGTGCTGGGATTACAGGTGTGTGCTACCATGCTGAATAGACCCCATACCTAGCAGCACTCACTTCCTGTTCCCAACCCCCAGCTCCTGGCGACTACTGGTCCTCTTCCTGTCTTTGAGTCTGCCTGCTCTGGACATCTTTTTTTTTTTTTGTACCGGGAATCAAACTCAGGACCTTGCACTTGCCAGGCAGGCACTTACCTGGACATCTATCAGCGGGAACAAGATGTGCCCTCCTGTGTCTGGCTTTCCTCACTTAGCGTCGTCGCCGTATCAGTGCTCCATGCCTCGTCACGGCTGAGTACTACCCCACAGTGCAGGCAGACCGTAATGTTTATCTGTTTACCGCTTGGTGGATGCCTTAGCGCATTTCCTGTCACTAAGGAATACCAGAGGGCTGGGGGTGTAGCTTATGTGCGAGGCCCGGTTTCCATACCTAGCAGATGAGTGTACGTGTGAAAGTACAGAAAATCGGACTACCTGGGACTGGGTGGCTGACATCACTGTCGAGCCCCTGTGTGGCAGTGCCGTGTGGGTGACAGCGTGTCTCTGTGGTACAGCCTGGGGGCCTGGCGTGTGGGTAGCTCAGAGGGCCCAGTGTGGAAGGAGCACGGCAGGGAGGGGCAGGTATGCGCAGGCTTCCTAGGCCCTTGGCCCTCAGCCTGGCAGGTGGGAAGCCCCCTATGAGGGATCACGTCTTTTGAGGGGGGACCATTGAGGCTGCCGAGGGCCGCGGAAGGGTGGTCCTGTCTGCGATGCCAGTCTTCCAGCCTAGCAGGCAGCGCCTGTGTCTGCCGTTTTGTCCCACGCAGCGTTTTGTACTCCGGCCAGGGGTGGGGGCGGTTCCCGACTTCCCCTGGCTCTCCTGTGGTCCCACAACTCAGGCAAGTGTCCTCAGGAGGGACTGCTCCCCTCCCCCCCCGCCGCCCCCACCGTTATGTAACTTGTTTGTTCCAGCTTCTCTCTTCTGCGACCAGGGGGGAGAAGCAAGAAAGAGCGGAGCTGATTCTCTCCTTCCTTCCTATCTCGAGGGATCAGCAAAACCCGCTGCCTCGTGGAGATGTTCATGACTGCGCAGAACCGCAGGGATGGACGCGGCAGCCGGCGGCGCTGGCGGAGGGGAGGCGGTGTCTGGCCCAGGGCTCTCAAAACAAAAGACACTTGTTCTGCAGCCGCCTGCTCCTGGCTGGGCCTCGGCCTCCCCGAGCCAGGCTCTTCGAGGGAGAGGTTCAGGCTGCGGCCTCATGGCAGCAAGGCACCTCCCGGCCCTGCCACCCTTGGTCCTTGGCCTGCCCCCTGTGAACGTGTTGCTGAATAACACTGCTCCCGGGGTAAGGAGGGGACACCAGTGTAAGGGACGTGCTGACCGCAGGGGTCCCCTTGGGAATTTGTGTCGAGCAGGCTGGTCACAGTGCAGCCTGGCCTCGCGGCCTGCACTTGTATAAACTCCCCACAAGCCCTCGCTGGCTGTGTGTCCCTGGGTTGTCTCCAAGGAACCCCTGCCTGTGCTGGGAATACCTGGGGGACCTTGTGGCCTTCTGGGAAGGTCTCGTCCCTTGGACCAGGCCTCCGCTTTAAGGGAGGGAAAGACAGAGCCCGGGATTGGCTCTCAGCCCGAGCACCTGTGCCCCAAGAGGCTTGACGGCAGCCCCCCTTCCTGCAGGCAGCCTCCAGGCACCCCGGGTCCCCGATGCACTGGCGGGCAGTGCGCTGGGGGCGCAGCGCGTGTTTCATGCTGGGGCTACCTCGGTGGCATTGCTTGTAGTAGTGATGCTGCCCGGGTCCTGCCCACTGCCCCTGTGTGGGAATTGTGAGCTGCATCCGGGGGTGGAGAGTGAACATTGGCCCCTTGCAGCCTGGAAGACGGTGGCACTGTTGCTTGGCGGCCATGAGAGGGGCAGGGTGGTAGCAGGGCAGGGCTGTGGAGTCCGAGTGACACTAGGAGGGCGGGTCTGGCCGTGGGGCGGCCCGGCATGGCTTGCTGGGTGGTGGGAGTCAGGGTGAGCTGCAGGCAGTGTCCGGCTAGAGGCGCCCCAAGTGCCCAGCAGCTCAGTCCGTGGCAGGGGAGGCCCCCCGTGTCACTTCCAGCCAGCAGGGTCCCCAGAGCGCAGCACAGCTGTCTCACAGTTGGACTGCTGCCTTGAACCGGTAGCTGCCACCCCCCAGGGACAGCCTTCTTGTCCTTGGCTTTATCAGTTGTTGCTGTAACCGTGCCACCACCCGGCGGCTGGGGCAGCTTGTCATCCCCTTCCTCACTTCTTTATGTTGCACCCAGTCTCTCCTAGACACTTTACAGGTGAGACTTGCTGGGCGTGGTGGTGCACGCCGGTAATCCCAGCACTTAGGAGGCTGAGGCAGGAGGATCGTGCGTTCGAGACCAGCCTGGGCTATAAAGTGAGCTCAAGGCCAGCCTGAACTGCATAGTGAGACCCTGTCTCAAGACAAAAAAAAAAAAAAAGACTCGCTTTTGCCTTTCATTGTAGGGGTGTTTTTCAATTTTTAAAACTGTAAACTATCCTTTCCCTCCACTTTTTGGTGGTGATGGAATCCAGCTCCATTGAGCCTCACCCCAGCCCTGTCCCTTGGTTTTTTTGGGGGGCAAAGTACTGGGGAACAGCCAGGCTACTCCACTATTGAACTATGCCTCCAGCCCTTTTGATTTTTCACTTTGAGATAAGATTTCACTAAGGTGTCCACACTGGCCTCAAACTTGCAACCCTCCTGGCTCAGCCTTCTTAGTAGCTGGCATTCCAAGTGGGTACCACTGAGCCCAGCTCTGACCTTTGGTGTTTTGTTTCATTCATTTTCGTTTTTAAAATATAATTAAGTTTATTTGTACACTTTGGATGTACATAATGATTAGATTCATCATAGGGAATTTCTACTTGTACATGATAGATTTTGGTTTTTCTATTTTTCCTACTCCTCTCCTCCTGGCATTGTTTCATTTTGTTTTGAGGCAGTTTGCTATGTAGTATAGGCTTCCCTTGAACTTGCTATGTAGCCCACCCTGGCCTTAAACTTGCAATCTCTGTGTTTTAGCCGATGAGGCTGGGATGACAGGTGTGGCCTAGCATGCCTGGCTTTTTAATTTTTTTGGGTGTCAGGAACCGCATTCAGTACCTCGAGCTTGCCAGGCTGGTGCTGTGCCGCTAAGCAACATGCCTGGCCCTGCCCTTGGTTTTAAGGAATGCTTTAGACTTTGGGGTGCAGGTTCTATAGGGGGAGGAAGAGGACAGGAAATAGGAAGGGGGAGGGGGAGGCGAGGGAGGGGTGCAGGCAGAAATAGCTCAGACCAGCCTGTGTGATGCCTGCCTGAGGCCTGCGTCCTGGCACCCGGGGTCATTTGACACCTGCCCTCGCTTCTGGCGGGGGTTGCAGGCCTCCTGTGTACCTGCCACTGGCCTGGTGTCCACAGGACAGGTCAGCCCCATGTGGGCTGGCTGGGAGAGGCCCTGTGGAGCGGACTGAGCTGGTGAGCTGGGTCTTATCGCAGGAGGGTTGGCTCCTCTTTCTGGGCGAGGGTGAGGTCAGGGAGCAGGGCGAGGTTTGGGAAGGCCCTGGGTGGGACTCCATGGTGGAAGGGTCCTCTGGTGGTGGACAAGGGGCCCCAGGCCCCGATGATGAGAGGTGAGTTGGGGAGCAGTAGCAGTGGCTGTGCAGGCTCTTGGTCCTGCTCTGTGTTGAGGATCTGGTGCTGGGGGTAACCTATGGGGGTAAGGGGCTGAGGACCCACTTGGTCTTGAGTGGCCATGGCAGCTGCAAGTGTCCAGTGGACACCTGCATCCCTCTGTCACCTGCATCCCCCCTCTAGAAAGGCCCTTTGTGCCTCTGGTCTCTGGGCTCGAGCCAGCCTAGGCCACATAGTCCTTGCGGCCTCAGATCTTCCAGGCAGCAGGTCCTGGTTCGGGTAACGTCCCTCCTCCAGAGGGAGGGCTGCAGGCGCCTTGGCGGACTCCCGGCCAGCAGGTCTTTTGTGTTCACTGTGGGGCCACAATCCGGTCCTGCCCCTTCTGAGCCACTGTCCTGTCCCCAACTGCAGCCACCAGGACCTTCCTGAGATCTCAGACCCTGTTACCGCTTGCCTGATACCTGCCAGGGCTCCCTGCTCTCAGAACAGAATCCACTTCCGTGTGACCCCCCTGCCCCCGCCCCGCTGGTCCCAGGCGTACGGGGCCGGAATGTCCTGTCCCTGTCCCAGCGATTTGCACGGCTCAAGTGTTGCATTCTCGGGCCTGGCCTTGCTACCCATCCCATGCATCCCTGTCATCACAGTTCACTGTGCGCTGAGGGTCTGTGTCCCCTAGGACATGCCCTCCCGGGGGGCAGCGGTAGGTCAGTTCTCAGGGCCCCCAGCAGATCAGTGCCCCTCCACGCCGTCTGGGCTGGATTTGCAGGGCGCAGGCCTGACCCCGGCTCTGCACAGCCCCCCTTGCCCTGACCGGTGGAATCACCCTCCTCCACTTTATGGCATTGACCCAGCAGGGTCAGGGCAGAGCAGCAGAAGTTCACAGCCTGTCATCAGTACGTCAGCCCCGCCGTGGACGGAGCAGCCAGCGGTTGCGCCATTCTGTGTGCGCTCCATTTGTTTAATGAGCAGAATTTCAGTACTGCGTGTGAAAGTTAAAGAAAGCCACCACCGGCTGGCCTCCCTGTCCAGCTGCTTGAAGTGGGAAGTGGGGGCTGAGCCCACTGGGCCCCCACTGCCGGCTGGCCCGCCCTCCTCCTCTGGTAGCCGCGCTGCAGCTGTGCGGACGAGCTCTCTTAACACTTGTTAACCCCGCGCCTCCATCCCTTCCTCCCCGCCCTTCCCCACTGCTCTCCAGAGAGGGCCGCGCAGTTCGCAGGACTCGTCTCCAACGGCCACGCCAGCGTTTCCCCAGCATTCCTGCTCTGCAGAGCGGATTTTGGGGCGTGTCCAGCGTGCTTTCAGACCCCTCACCGAGCATCGTAGCGCAGCGCCTGACCGCTCTGCGTGCACTGCCACGATGCACACTGCAAATATTGTGATCTGGGAGGAAGTAACCGGCACCTTGGGGGAATTGCAGACCTTTCCTGTGAGGGCAAGGGCTTCCGGAATTGAACACTCTCGGCCTGCAGGGGTGGGCCTTCAGGCTTTTTAAAGGCCTTGAGGGGGGTCACCCGAGGATCGAGGCCGAAGATGTTTTCTGACACCACAGCCGTGAAATTCCACAGGGGTCAGAGACGGGAATCGGGCGGGAGCGGTCTGGGTGGATATCCGGAGAGCTGTGTCCTCCTCGGGATGTTAGAATTTGAGGCAGCCTGTCAAAAGCGGCCAGACGGGACATGTGACTGCCCAGACTCTTCTGTTACTGAGCTGCACACAGCGTGCTTTCCTAGGCAGGTGGACGGGGCGGCCAGGGGGCTGTGCTGCACCAGGCGTTCGGGCAACCTTTCTGTGCACCCAGCCTGAGTTGCCCTTCCAGGGCCACTGTGGCATCTGCCCAGCAGGAGGGCGCTCTTGCCCTCCACGTCAGCTCCCTGAGGCCTGTGGCCCGTGAGCAGAGCAGTTGGGAGCGCACCGTGTCTGCTCCCCAGGAATCACTTGCACATGTGGCTGGCGGTGTTGTAGCTGGGATGGTGGCCCTGGCCCTCTGCCATCCCAGCCTCGACGCCTGCCCCACATCAGCATTTAGAGTGGCCGAACCTTGGTGTCGGTCGGTCAGAGTGCAGGCAGCTTGCTGGCCTTGCCTGGGGAGCTGTGGTGGGCAGAATGGAGCCGTCTGGCTTGCCACAGACAGGCGGAACTCTGGCTGGGGACAGCTGCCGCCCACTCACCCTCAGACTCACCCTCCATGTGACGTCCTCACCCCCGACCCCCTAGGGGGTTCTTGTGCGGTCTTGGAGAGGCTGCAGCTAGAGAGACACTGCATCCCGGGCAGTTTTTCCAGAGGCTTGTCTGGGATGCCATGGGTGACTCTAGGCTTCTGCCATGGAGGGCCCCTTAGGGGTAGGACAGCCAGGAAACCAGCTTGTTCTCTTCCCTTCCATTAAAGCTCAGAGGTCACATAAAAAATTTCAGAGAGAGTTCTAGTTTTTTTTTTTTTTTTTTTTTTGAGAGTTCTACTTTTAGGTGCACTGGGGTTCAAGGCTGGAAGGCTGCCCCCAGTAGGGTCCCCAGCAGATCCATCTTTTAGCTCTGACTTCTCTCTTCCTGGCACCCACCTATCCAATGAAAGGTGACCCTACTTTATGGCCCACCAGCCTGCCAACCCCAGGGGAGAGGCCAGCCTCTATCCAGTAGCTCCAGCAAAATTCCTAGGGAACGACTCTGATTGGACCAGGTGGGCCACACCCTCATCCTGGGACCAATCGTGGAAGCCATTCTCAGAGGCTTTGACTGGCCAGGTTGGGCCATGTGCCTCCTTTTCAACCCTCAGAGCGGGTCTGCCACTGGGCTTGACTGTGGAGAACAGGAGGTTCTGCAAGGAAGACATGGGGTCCTTAAGAGAGGAGGCCTTTTTTTTTTTTTTTTTTGACACGGTCTCTCGCTGTGCAGTTCAGGCTGGCCTTGAGCTCAATTTGTAGCCCAGGCTGGTCTTGACCTCACAACGATCCTCCTGTCTCAGCCTCCTGAGTGCTGGGATTACATACGTGCACCACCATGCCCAGTGAGGAGGGCTTTGAGCACCCCTAAAATGGAGATGTTCATGAACAGGCTCCTCTGGTGCTGAAATTCGCTGTCGTCAGAAGGCCCCATGCTGAGCGGCAGGGATGCTGCATCTGGCTGAGCTCCACCAGGGTGAACATGTGCTGCTTGGCAGCCCCGACCCTTCTGGGGCCTCAGCGCTGGCCCGGCCAGGGGAGGCAGCAGGCTGGGCTGCCTCCCGGCGTGTTTCTGCCCTGCCATGCTGGAATTCATCGGTGCTGGAATTCAGTGGGTTTCCGAGCAATGCTCATGCACCTACTTGCCTAATCTGGAGAGCCAGGGGGTATTCTTGTTTGAGTGGCCTTGTCTTCCAGCCTGGCACAGTGGGGTGCTGAGGGGGATGGGCCCTTGCTGGATCATCTGGAGTCAGGAGGGAACCTCAACCCGAGATCTGCCCTCTGGTTGGCCTCTGGCAGCAGCCCCGGCTGGGCCGGGAGGGTGAGGGGCTGTGGTGGAGCCCGGTGGGTGCGTAAGTGAGGGAGGCTGTGGTGGAGACCGTAGTTCCAGAGAAGGCCGGAGGTGGAAGTGGCAGGGGTGCCCAGTGTGAAGGAGCTGGTAGACTCAGGAGGGGTCTGGCGGCAGGTGGAGGGGGCCAGGCACACCAGGAGCAGTGCACGCCAAGGCGTGGAGGCCTGGACATCCTGGAGAGAGTCCTGGCCAGTGCTTCCTGGTGCTGCCTGTGAGACCAAACCTGGCCTTAGGACTTGGGCCAGGAGCTGCATGACAGAGGCTGAGCTGTGAGAACGCTCACGTCCACTGCTGCCACCTCGGAGCATGGACCTGCTACCCTAGCCACTTACCTGCCCCCTCACCAGCCTCCATCCGTTCATCCACCCACCCAGCCAGCCAGCCATCTACCTACCCACCTGTCCACGTGTCCAGTCACCCAGCCACCCATCCATGTGTTGGTCCATCCATTCGTCCATGTGTCCACCCACCATCCACCCATCCATTCATCTACTGACCACTTGACATTCACCTACCCATCCATTCACCTAGTCAGCTACCATCCATTCATCCATCCATCCACCCATGTCTGCCCACCCATCCGTCTACCCACCCACTCCCATATCTTCACCCGTCCACTTGTACACCCTCTTCCCACCACCCTTCCTGCCTGCTCACCTGCCCACTCTGCACCGACCCACACACGCCCCAGCCGCTCCCCATGCGGCAGACACTGAGCTCCTTCCCTGTGCTGGGCGTGGTGGTGGGCTCCTGCCTGACCCTGGTGGACTCACATGTCAGCTGTGCAGAGACAAGCTGACACTGACACGTGACGTGCCATGTGGGACAGGAGCAGAGAGGACAGACAGCCAGGCTGAGGCTCAGGGCAGAAAGGGCAGCCGTGGCCCAGGACTGTCCCAGTGTGACCTGGCAGGTGCTACCCGTCTCTTGCAGGGCAGCTGAAAGGTTAGTTGCCCTTGGCCAGCACCGAGGAGTGTTGTCCACGTCCATCCTCTGAGTGTGGGCAGAGTCTCACAGAATGGTCTCAGCCTTCTGGGCCTCAGTCTCCCTGTCTGTGTGTCGATGATGGTCCTGGGGCGTGGCCAGGCACATGAACATCTGCGTGCTGGATGAGGATGTCTCCGCCGGCAGGCCTGGTGTCCTTGTGCCTCCTGCTTGCTGTGTGGTCCTAGACAAGTGCCTGACCCTCTCTGTGCCTATCTATGAAATGGGGATAATGAGGACGCGGTGCTGAGTAGAAAGCCCGGAGCCAGGTTTGTGCAAGGCCTCAGACAGCCTGGCGTGGGGTGGTCACCGGGCAGCGGGGCCTGTGGTGAAGGGATGCTCCTGCACTGGGT